AAAAAAAAAAGACTGCTATCTGAGGCAAAAAAGAACAACAGCTCAGACTATGTATCACCCAAGCTCATACCAGGGCCCCAGGCACAGATTGCTCAGGGCAAGAATTCATAGTTGCTTTTTAAGAGACTGGGGAAGTGAACTCTCTCCTCAGCCTCTCTTGAAAAAGAACTAAAGACATGATCTCAGTCTTTTCAACTACAAAAATTGATTATTAGCTCCTTATAATGATAAGGGGGGTTTTATATAAATTATATATAAATATAAATGTAACATTTGATGTCACCCGTAAGAGGTAGTTATTAATATGATCTGCTAAATTATGTTTTAGTAATATCAAGCACAGTGTCTTATTCTTCTGCTGTATCTCCAGTACCAGGAGAACACCTGGTACACAAGCTTCTGATTGAAGGTAAGATGTAGGCTCTATGAGCAGAGTCAGGAAAGACGTCAGACAAGCAAGAAGGACTGACATGCAAAAAGTATTGTACAAACAGAACAAGACCCAGTTTAGCAGCTCAGCCAAGAGTAAAGAAACCAGGAAAAATGAAGCCAGAGAGAGGCACACTGTTCAAGAACTCAAGAGAATGAGGCTAGGGAGATAGCTCGGTGGTCTAAGTGCCTGCCTGGCAAGCACGAGGGCCCAGGTTCAATCCCCAGTACCGCATGCCAGCCACTGAATAGGACGTGAGGGTGCATGCCTGCAATTCCAGAGCTGGGAAGGCTGAGACAGGAGGATCATTACAAGTCTGAGCTGTGTAGAGAGACCCTGTACAATAAGAGTGCAGCAGGAAACATGGCCTCAGTTAATGGAAGGGAGACAATTCTCTCCAACCTAAAGCAACTATGAGAAAGAAGGAAGTACTCACATCAGGCTGCAGTCTCTTGGCCCGCCGGCCATAGCTGTTGAATTTGGAAGGCTGCACAGACTGTCGAAGGGGGATGCTGTGAGGTTTGTATTCCTTGTCTTTTTCCTCATTATCAAATGGACGTGTATTGCACTGCTGGGAACAGGTGAAGGGCAGGGGTCAGCATGTGACTCCAGACCAAGAAGAAAAACTTTCTTCTACTCCTTGAGTGGCTACCAAAGTTATAGTCAGCAACCCTCTCCCCAACAGCCTTTGCTCAACTGGTCTTTATCACTTAGATCAGACACACTTTGGAAATTCCTCTCAGTGCTTTTTTTATGTTATTCCTCCTTCCAATAACCTACTACTCAAGCCATCTCCCAAAGTAAATCAGATTACATCTCTTCCCAGCCCTCTCTAGTCCAAAAGATCCCTCTCTTCTCAGAATTTTTTTTTTTTTTTTTTTTTTGGTGGAACCGGGGATTGAACTCAGGCTCTTGCACTTACCAGGCAAGTGCTTATTCTACTGAGCCATCTCCCCAGTCCTTCTCAGAACTTTTGTATCAGTTAAGATTGTCAAATAATAGTAGGCTGGCTCTACAGATAAGTCAAGACCTTTGAGCTTTGCTAGTCTGGAAGAGAAAAGGCACTAATAGGAAAGGGTAAGGTCTAGCTCCCAGGTTGCTAGATCATAGAACCAGTACTATTAAAAACAAGTATGGTAACCTGTGTCTGGGGGTAAAGCCTCACTGTACCCTCACTGGGCATCCTTACCACAAGGTTGGCTCCAGACTGGTACATCTCATAGGGATAAACAATGCGTTCATAGTGAGAGCGTAGCAGGGAACCAATATTTTTGCCTGGTGGGTAGTTGAGGCGCTGGGCCACCCGAGCCCACCGACGATCCTTGCAGATGGCTTCATAACCACCTTCTTCCACCACAATCTGAAAGGATAAGCAGGGACACAGATGTGCTATGTGTATGTACATGAGGATGTAGGCCTGTAGAAAGGACAATGAAGATAATTCCAGCCTCACTTCACCGAGGGCTAACCCCTTATTCCAACCTTACATTGCAACAAGAGGCCAAGATGTTCTGAGGGCAACCAGTATGTTACTAGGCTGAGCCCCTTCTGCTGCAGCCAAAGGGGCCCCCAGAGTAGCAAGGCTGAGGGGGATTTGAGGAAAAACCTGTTCTTACTTTGCTGAGGCTGTAGAGGTCCAAGATCCGTCGTTCTACATTGGGAATCTTTAAGGAGGAGCCCTGGATTTCCCAGAATTTGGCAATCTGGTCCAAGTAGTTCAGTTTCACTCTCGTCTGGGCCTGAAGAAGAAATGGCTCAAATAGGCTGGCCACCCTCTCCTCTGACCCCTGTCTTCTGACTCAGTCTTAAGGGAGGAGAAAGAGAACAGAATAGCCCACATACACTATCCAGGGCTTCTCCCAGTGAACAGGATCCCAGGCTCTGGGCAGGGCTAACCTCACCTCTTTCTCATCTCCCGAAAGAGACAGCCACAACAGGCAAAGCTTTAGATATATTCTTTCCCAATCTCCCTGACAGGGTTGTAATATTATCATCTCTTGTACAGATAAAGACACAGAACATAGGAATTAAATCACATAGCAAGCACCAAGATAGCTGGGTGTCAAATTACTTAAGTTTAAGCTTTCCCTCTGCTATTGACTTGCTGTATAGCCTTCAGCAAATTAGATCCACTTGTTAGACCTCTGTAGCTTTATTATATAAAGAAAATAAAAATTGGTCAGTCCACTTATTCCAGAAGGATGGACTTAATAAGAAGACCAATGAAAGCCCCTTGGAAATTTCTGAACTGTATGTAAGCTCTAGGCAGCTTTCAGAGAATGAAGGCTTCAAGAGTATATTTACTTCTCTATGTACCACAAATCTGGTTCCATGACAGCTGAAGGGTAAGGGTGCATGCTATATGCAGAATGACCTAAAGAACTGAGATGGTATACTGAAGCAATGCTGGCACCTTAGGCCAATCTAAGACCTAACCTGGTCCAAAGATTCTAGTACCAAGGCATGTACCACACTTGTCTGAAGTGTCAGTAATCCAAGAAATGCTCCCAAAGGCCCCTAAGTCTACAACTTCCTCACTTTGGTCAGAATGCCTGGTTCTAGCTAGAACTGTATAGTCATCAATATTCACTATCTTGCCTTGATCCCAATAAGAGGAACAAGGATTGTTCTTTCTGTTTCACAGTGAAGAACTAAGTTCTATTTCTGGTTAAGAAATGACCTATGGCTCCTTGACTGTGAGAACTGTGAGAACTGTTAAGGCTAGGAATACTACGTCCATCACTTGAACCCTTTAGTATTCTGACTCTGGCCTCATCTCTATTTCTCCCCTTCATAAGCCAGTGCTTATTCTCTAAAAGACTTGCTTTTGTTCTATGTTAAACAATACCCGGCTGTAGATAACTTCCACAGCCATGGCCAGATCTATTTTTCTTTTTCTTTCTTTTTTTTTTTTTTTTTGTGGAACCGGGGCTTGAACTCAGGCCCTTGTACTTGCCAAGGAAGTGCTTTTCCCACTGAGCCATCTCTCCGGCCCCAAGATCTATTTTTCTAAGGAATTTGCACTTCCCATAACAGATGATTTTGGCCCTAACTGGAACAGCTTGTAGTCTGGGTCTAGCATGGTAGTTCTTTTTTATCTTTTATTTATTTTTTAAAGAGTAAAAAATGATAAAATCATTAGAAATACAAAATTTCATTAAACAAAGTAATAGGAATCTGATAATGGATGTCATATTGCATAATGTTATCTTCAAGTTGTTTAGGTTACCAAATATAAACCTACGAAATTGGTATTAAAAAAAGTTACAAGAAATTAAAACTAAAAATATTTAAGCATTAACAGCTCTTTTCAATAAACCAGCAGAAATCAGCAGTTCAATTATCCAAACTATCCTGTATACACACATGAATATATTGTTCCCTTATCTTTTTCTTCATCCCAGTTTTTCGTTCCAATTGAACAGATTCTTTCCCTTTCACAGTATCTATTGTATCTTTCAGATTTTATTTACTCTTTGAGGTTCTCACATTACTGAGACAGTATGTTTGCACATAGGGGTCTGATTTATTCCATTTACAAATACAGTCTCTAGTTGCATCCATTTACCTATGAAAGTCTTGAATTTATTTTTTTTATAGCTGAGTAATACTCCATTGTGTAAAAACACCACATCTTTTTTTATCCATTCCTCAGCTGATGGGTATTTGGGTTGTTTCCGAGATTTAGCTATGACAAACTGCTGCTATAATCATGAGTGCACATATATTGCTGTGGTATGTTTTCTGGTCTTCTGGGAAAAAAACCCAGGAGGGGAATAGCTGGGTTGAATGGGACTTCCTATCCTAGCTTTCTGAGGGATCGTCACATTGATTTCCTTAGTGGTTGTACCAGTCTGCACTCCCACCAACAGTGGAGAAGGATCTCTTTTTCCCCATACTCCCTCCAGCATTTGTTATTGGTTCACTTTTTTTTTTTTTTTTTTTTTGAACTGGGGGTTGAACTCAGGCCCTTGCGCTTGCCAGGGAAGCACTTATCCTACTAAGCCATCTCCCCAGCCCCTGGTTCACTTCTTGATGACAGCCATAGAATGATAGTTCTTATTGGGGGACAAAATGGGGACATTTGACAATATCTGAAGTTATTTTGGTTGTTATATGACTAGGAGACAGCACTACTGGCATCTAATGGATACTCATAACATCCTACAATGCACAAATGAGCTTTGCCCCCATGACAAAAAAAAAATTCTCTGGCCCAAAATGTCATTAGTATTGAGGTTGAGAATTCTGGTCTCAATAACAAGAAAACTTTTATCTTATAGGTATTCAGCTTGGCCCAACTGACTCTGGGACACCTAGTAAGGCTTGTGGATGGATACATGGTAGTGGGTAAGGGGTAGGAATACACATTTAACTTACATACTCCATAAAAACTCCTGGACCTTACCTAGAACTGGTTTCAGGGCTCCTACTCTTATTTCACCAAGGCATGCTCAAGCCCCTAGTGGAGAATCCTATTTGTTCATGCAAAAGGGCCTGGACTTCCTGTATAGAACAATAGGAGGGGAAAAAACCTACATGCTTGACCCCTGCCAAGTCTTTAACCATTCTAGCTTCTACACAGGCCAATCTTTGTGCTGTTCTTGCCCTGCTACCTTGCCTCCCAATTTAGCAAGTACCATGGGAAAAGACAACATAGGGCTACAATGAATTAAATGTATGACAACATACTCGCTGACCAAGGAAAGAAGGGTAATCTTAGCTAGCCCCATATTTCCCTTTTGATGCCCTAGACAGAGTAGACGGGAAAGGGATATCCCTAGCTTTTGTGTCACCAGATCAGAAAGAATAAATGTCCCCCGGTTATATTAGAAACTTTCCAGTGTCTACCATACCTTACACTAATGATAAAGTGCCTCAGTCAGAGAAGGAAGGAGAAAGAGGACATGAGCTCAGGAATCCATCCATTTTCCAAACCCCACCATTCCTCTTACCTCTAGCTCATTCAGCCTCTGGATCCGGGGAGTAAACCTAAAGTTGTCCACTTCCACAGCAAAAGGTGGCTGCCAGTCCTGAGAGAACAAAAAAGGGAAAGGTATTTGGGTTACACAGCATAGCATCAACAACAGCTTAGCACCCTGCTCACATTCATACTTTTCTAGACCTCTAGCCACCCTAGATAATTAACTTCACCAATACCCAATCTATCCACCCCCATCTCCCTCCAGAAATCAAAATAGGGCCTAACAGCCTCTCAAGTCTGTATCTAAGACCCCATGCACATACATGCTCTGGGAAAGTTCTCCCTTCGTACAATACCAGGATTTCAAGAAACAAAGTGATGGATCCATAAACAATTGACTCTGAATTCTCCTCATACCCATGTTAACCCCTTGTCCCCTAAGCGTTTACTACAGGACACATAATTTTGAGTAGTGAAAAGCACACAGGATCTGGAGTCAGAAGACCTTGATTCATGTTCTAGCTATACTACTTATGTGATCATACCATTATAAACCTTGTTTTCTCATCTGTAAGTTAGGCCTGTGAAGTCTTGCCCTAGCTTCTTCACAAAACTGGTAAGATTAAAATGGCTTTCAAATGAAAACATTACTTAAAGGAATCATCAATTTCACCCTGACATCTAAGGCTGACCCCACTATTCAATACACTTGCCAAGTAGCTTGGCTCTTATTCTGGCAGGATTTAAAGATTGGTCCTTTGTAGTGTCTTTTCTCTCTGTTTAAAGGCCCTAAGGGAACACTGCAGAGAACAGCAAGGACCAGAACAAGAATCTGCATCACTTACTGGGTCTGAAAGGGTTTCCATGGGCCCTTTCTCATATACCTGCCTGGGAGGTATACCTGGCAGGATGGAAGCCCAAGTAGGGGTAAGTACCAGGTTGCCTGACCATGGTGGGAAAGAAAGAATGTGGGAATTTGGGGAGGGGGGAGTGGGGAAAACATAATGAAAATGGGTGAGACCCTGTCTTGCCAAGTTGGAGCTTATTCTGTCCTCAAGGGGTGGCTGTGAAAAGTTTCCTCCCCAACACCTGTCCCCCAACTTCCCAAGCAGTCCTCTCTTCCCCAGAACCCTGGCTTCTGTCAGGATGGCAAAAAACAAACAAACAAACAAACAAAAAAAAAACCCAAAACACAACAAAAAACAAAACAAAACCAACCAAAAACAATGCCCTCATTTTACAAATGGGAAAAGTGAGGCCCACAGAAGAAATATGATTTCTCCAAAACTCACATGTTGAGTCAAGTCAGTGGTAAAACCAACACTAGAACCCATGTCTTCTAACCACAGGTCCAAGGCTCCTTGTACTCTAGCTATAAGTGTTGCTCACACATGCATGAATATGGAAGGAGGGAAAGGGGAAAATAATAAAAACAAAACAACCCAAAGCTGTAGACTTTTGTAAACACGTTTTAAAAAATGAGGGCCAGAGGATCCATTCTTGTATGCACACACACTCCCCACCCCAACAGAAGCAAGTAAAGCATCTGGAACCAGTGAGGCACGAGGAGAAATTAGGCTAAAATGCTCTGGTTCCAGCCCAGTCAAACCCCTTTTTGTCTACCACAGATTGGGGTACTCCCCTTGGTGTAAATGATCCAGGCAGAAAGGTATGCAAACCCAATTCAGGCATTCTTCTTTGCAGCAGAATCAAGTACTAGATAAGAATCAGTGCAGGGGCTGGGGAGATGGCTCAGTAAAATAAGTGCTTCCCTGGCAAGTGCAAGGGTCTGAGTTCAATCCCCAGTTCCGCAAAAAAAAAAAAAAAAAAAAAAAAAAAAAAAAAACCAACAACAAAAAGAATCAGTGCAACATCAGGATCCAAAACAAAACAAAACAAAACAAACCCAAACAAAAACAAAACAAACAAAAAAACTGCAGAACTCAAATCCTTGAGCAGAAGGTACAGGTAAAGGTGTGGAAGGTCCAGGTCCAGCAAACCTCCTGTCTTTGGTCCCATACTACTGTATGCCAATGCTCAATGTTGCAGTATCATTAGGACTGTGGCACAAAAAGGTTGGCTACCTACAGGGAGCCAGATTCTTCAAGCTCCCCTGAGTGTACTTTAGGACACCAACACTGTCCTACCAGCCATCTATCTCAAGTGTAGCAGTTACCTACTCAGCAATGGCATCTCAAATCAATCTTTCCCAGCCAAACCTCCAATTCCCAGTACACACTCATATACAAGTTTCCACCCTGGGCCCAAGTATCACTTAGGTGAGTACTTCAAACTCCAACCAGAAAAAAACCCAGCTACCTACCTAATGGTGGTCTAGGGTCAGCCCTTGGCAAAACAAAACAAAAACAGCCAAGCCTCTTGGAATAAAGGGAAGTATGTTGCTGGAGTAATGAAAAAGCCGAACAAAGGACAGTTCCCTGTTGCCCACACACATACCAAGGACTCATCATTCATCCCCTTCCTAATCCCCCAAACAAAGGTAGAAAAAAGGAAATTCAGGCCTCAACTGCCCCCTAGGTCAGGTATGCCTCCTTCCCATAGATATGCTCCACCATTTTAGGGCTGCGCAGGATTCCCAGCCTCTCCCTTCAGTGAGCCTTCCTGACTTCTCACTATCCACTGCCACTCCCTTACCCTGGACAAGGATACCTCTGAGACCTGTGGCTACGCTCCAACAAGGAAGAAATTAGCTTACCCAACACCTCCCAGAGGATCCATATGAAACCAGCTTAGATCTGTGGCTGAGTACCAAAAGTACTGAGTTGGATAAAAAGGCTTGTGGTGCCCTCCTCAGGTGGGACTGAGGATCCCCATGCAGAGAAACCCATTCAAAGACATTCTGTTCCAGCCAAACTCAATTCTTGCCATTAGAATCCCAAGTAGTCACTGAGTAAGATGCATCATCATTTCTCCTTCATGTTAGCAAGGCAGCAGCCTGTCCTAGACCTTGGGGAACTTCTGGCCTACTCAGGCCTAGGAGGAAAGATACGGTCTTTGTTGCTGACATCTGGGAATCAAACATTTCAAGGGAAGCAGACTTCCAGTTCTATTCTGATGGGGAGGGGGTGGGGCGTGCACAAGAAACCCTCATACTCTGGGACCTCCTACATTCTGAGCCAGAACAGAATAGAAATCTTCTGAGAGGATTCACATCCCACTACCAAGCCAACTGGTTCAAGCCTCTATACAGCAAAGGGAGGGAGGGAGTTCAGGAAAGGCCCGGACCCTGCCTTCTATTAGAAAAGTGGGTCAATTCTCTGAACTCACCTCCGAGAAGCCAGATAAAAGCATTCCCTGTGAAGCTGGTTTCCTGACTGGTCCACCAGGCCAGTATATTATCATAGTTGGATTGGCCTGGCAGGGTGTGAGTAAATGTGAGTCACCCAGATAGAAGCAAACCAATGACCACATCAAACACCTTTACAGTCAGAGTAATTACCACATACCAAATGCCTACTACACACAAATGCTACCCAGTTTAATCCAGTCCTAGGGAAAAAAAAAAACCACTCCTGGGACCCATTTCACAGGCTCAGAGATTACTTTATAATGCCCAAGGTCACACACCTGCTAAGCTTCAAAGTGGAGTTTTGAACTCCGGTCTGTCTCCCTTCAGAGATGTGATCTTTCCACTACACTGTGCTGCCTGCCTTAAGGGAAATGAAGACAGTAGATGCAAGGCCTTATTTACTGAAACCTTGACCTGGATGGTTTGGAGTAACTAAAAGATATTTGGGGTACCTCTTTGAACTCTTCCCCACCCACAAGGCAGCCCTGTCTTTAACCAAAAGTAATTCTTAAGAGCGGGAACGGAGGTGTGCCTCATACCACCAGAAGACCCCTGGCCCTTTTTCTCCCATTCGCGCCGCATCCACAGCAGTCCCACGCATCCCATCTCCCACACCTCCAGCTGCCCTCCGCCCCAGACTATACTGCACGTTACCCTATCTTTCATAGCCAGCCTCGCCGCCGGTAACCATCCGCCCCGGGCCTTACCGCGGGTGGGCGGATCTTGCAAATGCCCGACTTCTCCGCGATGGGCCTGATTTTCGCGATGTAGCCAAGAGGGTCTCGGAACTCGGCCCAGCTAGGCTCGAACACCGGGCACTCCGGGGGCGGTAAGAAGTCGTCTGACCCCGGCTCCATGGTGGGCCCGAGGCGTGGGCCAGGTATCAGGAGGGCTGGACCGCCCTTACGGGCTCATGGCGCCGCTGCTGTCTGAAACCGAGACACTGCTCGGAGACTAGGCCTTAAGCTGGGCGGCCGCCGCCCGCCAAGGACCTAGGGGGGCGTGTGTGTGCCGCGCTCTGAGGGTTTCAGGATGATGCTACTGCCACCACGTCTTCGCTTTGCGCAATTCCTCCCAAATTCTGCCGCTGCCTGCCAACTACCGCTGCCTTTGCTTTCACCACCAGTTACCTCCCAGCCGCCGCGGCCTTCACCGCCGTAGCCGCCATCTTAGTTTGTCAGCGTCTCCCCCCTCCCCTCACCACAACAAACTGGATCCCTCCGCGCGTTGTCTTTCCAGTTTCGAATGCCTTGCGTTAGGCTAAGCCCCGGAAAGTCTTTATCCCATGGAGACTAAGCTAAATAGTCTGTCATAGGTTCCCTATTTGGAAGGAGTCATTCGAAATTATTTTTCTGATTGAGAGAAAATAGTTCACATCAGCGGCGGAGGAACAAGGTTGTAATTTGCATGCCGGATCCTCTTTCCGGATGGACCGGCGGTGCACGTTTAAAGGCCAGTGGTGCGCTTGCGCATTTTGGAGACAAACCGGAAGAGGCGCTGGCTTCCGTGGGTAGTGGGCTTAAACTGGCAGCCTTCACGCCCACCCACTCACTCAGAAGATCTGGAGCGAGTGTCTAGCCCCGCCCTAATGTTCTCTGTCCCCTTTTCCTGGTCTTTTCTGTATGGATCACTGAAAGCGGCTTTGGGTGTCTGAATTAAAAGGACCCCTTTTGCTGATTTGCAGGTGGGGAAAGACTGTTCCTAGCTCTGGGCGCTGAGAACTCTGGGGCTGCCCTGTTTTTTAGAATTTTGATCCCAAGTACAAAAAAGCAATATTTCATCTGAAGTTACATTGATGTTCTCAAAAAGATGAGGTTTCCGTTCTTAGCCTCAAAAATAATTGGCAGTGAGCATTTTAATAAATAAACTGTTCTGTACGTGTTGTAACTGTGTACACATTTGTGGTATGCATCCTACAAAACAAGCTCAAGTGTATGTGTCTACTCCACTATTCCCACTCCCCCAGTATTGGCATTTGATCCCAGGCCTCATAACTCTGTAACGGATCTTAATCCCCAGCCATGTTTGTTGATTTGTATCCTCCGGTGGAGCGCTTCTCAAACATGTATATACATTATATTTATTGTGTATACCCTTTATCACAAGCATTTTAGTGCCTACTGTGTGTACACCTGTTGAGACATGTTCCTTGAGCAGTTTCTGCTTTCTGTTTTTGTCTTTTTGAGGCAGGTTTTCACTATGCAGTTCAGGCTAGCTTTGAACTCACTTTATAGTTCAGTCCTGCCATTAGCAGTGCTGGGATTACAGGCATGGGCCACCACACCTAACCCCTTGATTAGTTTTTTCTCTTTTCTTTTTCTTTTTTTTTTTTTTTTTGGCAGAACCAGGGATTGAACTCAGGCCCTTGTGCTTGCCAGGCAAGTGCTTATTCTACTGAGCCATCTCCCCGGCCCCCTTGATCAGTTTCTGAATAGGTTTGTTGCAACTACTTTTGAGTATCAAATAGTACTTTGTCCAAATACATCATACTTCTACTGCATTTGAGCACTGTATGCATTATTCATTAGGTGTGGGCCTACTGCCTATATTCTGAACACCCACTGTACACATATTTGAGTACTTGTGCCCATGCCAATTAAGTGCTTATTTTTTAAGTGCTTGTTTTGTGTTCCCCCACCAGACGATTAATTTCTTAAGGGCAGGGGCCATGGGACCTTTATGCAGATTTGTTACTTGACATAAGCAGTAAATACTGAATGAAAAGAAAAATGGGTATAGTTTTGAGAGCAGATTTACTATATGTTGAGTGAAAATAATGTATAATCTTTACAGGCATTCCCTTATACATTAGGGACCTATCATAAGTTTGAATGTGTTTGAGGAGGTGGGAGTGTCATTTCTTCATCCAGTTAGCTGTACCTAATCACATGCTATGTGACAGTTAAGCAGATTCTGCCTGCTTCAGTGATAGCTGAGGGAGCAGGGAACACAGGGAAAAGCTCAGGGGGTAAGACAGGCCTGTCTTCCTGTCCCACCAGCTCTGCTATTTTCTAGTTATGTGACCATGGCTAAGTTCCAACTTCGGAGCGTGACCTGAAGATGATAATACCTACCTTGTAAAATTGCTTCACAGTACCTGACATTAGCAGACCCTCAGTCTTTGGGAGCTCTTGGTGTTTCTGAGAGCCAACAACCAGTGATTATTTTGTTTGGGTCAGTCATTTTGCTAGTGTCTTTATGTTTTTTTTTTAATCGCCTGAATCCTTATATTACCTTGAACATTCATGATCTTTATCATCATTTGGTACATGAGGAAAATGGTCCCAAGCAATACAGATAATAAATGATAGCTCTTTTCTAGTTTTTCAGATGTCAGGAAAACTTAGCTCCTCCCTGCCAGACACAATGAATGATCCATCTGAACAACTGTCTAAACAGGAAACAGCCAGGTGAAATGATGCTAATCATAGTAATATCACTAACTTTTTACATGGATAAGCATGTAACAGTCCACATAGCTCTGACTTCATACCAGTATTTTCCTTCATCTTTGCAATAGTCTTAGGAAAGATGAAGGCTAATTTACCCAAACTGCAGATGAGAAACCAAATTTCAGGAAGATTCATCAACTTGCCAAGTGTTATATAGGAAATTGCTGACTTCTGGTCAAATACTCTTCTCTAAGTTGCGGTCACCAGAAATAGAGCTGGGCAGGAGAAGGGTGAGAATAATGAAGAAGATTGGAGAGTGTGCCAATCCTAAACTGAAGGAAGTTGCCTTTTGACTGGAGGCAGCTCAGTGAAATGCAAAGAACATGAATTGGGAATTAGGATACCAGGTTTTGGGTCTCAGTTGTGCCTAGACTTCATACCCCCTTCTCTGAGGTCCTTAGCCCAGATACATCCTCATCTTGGAAGGGCAAACAGAAATTCCATAGACTCTTTCAAACAAGTGAGATCAAAGTCATTATTTATCAGGTATTTATTAAATTCCCTATATGCACCAGGCATTTTTGTAGACAGGGAATATTACGGTATCCAAGACAAACATGCTTTACTAGTGTGGACATAACTGAGATCTGCTGAGTGCCTCATCTCCCCAAGCCTTGATTTTTTCATTTATAAAATGAGGCAAGTATTGGGCCATGGAGATAGCTCAGTGGCATAAGCGCCTGCATGGCAAGCACAAGGTCCTGAGTTCGATCCCCAGCATCACAATAAATAGATAAATAAAAAAATGAGGCAAGTATTCCCTTCCTACAACATTACTTGAAAACTTAGAGACAATGATGACTGCCATTCATTAAGGGCCAACGTCTTCATAGGAAGAAGGCATTATCTCTGTCTTACAGATGAGGAGATTGAAGCTCAGGGAAGTATAAACACACCCAAGTCACATGACTAGTAAGTGGTAGAGCCAGAACCCAAACCCTGGGCAGTCTGACTGCTATACAATTCATCTTATGAAAATCTTAGTGTTAGCCACACAGTAACATATTTAGAAAACAAGGTTCCCAGGCTTCAGGTCTTTCTGGGGACCAACAAGAATCTGGGCACTGCAAGCTTTAGAATTGGGAAGCGTCCGGGAGCTCACCTAAGGCTGGGGGCTGGCTTCACCTTACCCACACACCTGGAGAGAGGATATATATAGCAGAGATTTTGTGGGGCAGTGAATTTCAGCAGGGCTCATAACTACACTCATCCAATCCATGTTTTGTGGATAAACTTGATGAGAATCACTTCCTCATCCTTCCTGCTCACCTTTAGGTGCTGGAGATATGAACCCAAGGCCTCATACATGCTAAGAATGCACTCAACCACAGAGCTATACCCTGTGCATTCATGCTAAGAATGCACTCTAACACTGTGTGTATACTGTGTGTACATTCTTATGCCTCACATTTGTGATTTGTAAAATAGGATCTCTTTCAGTTCCAGAGTAGGTATGAGCTGTCAATTTTAACTCCTAAAGGGCGCTGGAATCTTTCCCCTCCCCTCCCCATCTTCCACTCTGCTTATAAACCATTTACTATCTCTAGCCTGCACTTTTTCTTTTCTTTTTAGCAGTACTGGGAATCAAATTCAGGGGTGCTCTACAACTAAGTTATATTCCCAGATCTTTTTCTTTTGAGACACAGTCTCACTAAATTGCCCAGGTAGAGCTCAAATTTGTGATCCTTTTGGCTCAGACTGCCTCAGTCCTGGGATTACAGGTGTGTACCACCGAGCCCAATTTGGGGCTATTTTTTTGAGACAAGATCTGGGAGTCTCACTATTTTGCCCAGGCTGGCCTCAAACCCTGGGCTCAGCTGATTCTCCCAGGTCACCCTGCTCAGTAGCTAGGACTACAAGCATGTGCCACCACATTTTCTAGCCTAGGCTATTAAAAGAACCTCCTCAAGGTGTCTGTGTGAACTCATAGTTTATTAGAGCTGAGACAGAGGCAGAAAGAAATATAAATGTATAGTATGTGCTTATCTATACACATGACAATAAAATCATTAATTCAAAATAATTATAATTCAAAGTGAATTGTGACAGTAGTGGATTATAATTATCAAACTGATTAAAAATTTTAAACCTTGAATCCACATCAATAAACAAGGGGAAAGGGAAAGCTGTTCCTTAAAGTAAAATGCTAAATAATAAACACAGAATGACTGATGGAATTAGAAATTCAGTGGATGAAAATCAAAATCAAACATCAATGGATGTTTGAACTTGTTCCAAATAAGAAACACTTAAAATATAACTATAACCCCTAGTGTCCAAATCTTGATTTTTTAAAATGCCATTTTCTGCTAGACAGAATCAAGGCTACTTGGAAAAATGACCATTTCCAGGGTTTGGACCGAGAAAAGAAAAAAATAGAAGATGAATCTGGAGTATCTTGTGTGCCAGAAAAGCAGGAAGTACTCAAAGATGGAGACATGCCAAAGGACACAAGAGCCAGCTTGGAGGGTTTCCTGCTGGCTAACTCTGGGGCATTCTGAATATCAAAATAAAGAATGATGTTAATGGGTTATGTATAACTCATTGATTAGAGAATGAGTCCCTGAGGATATAAATAAATAAATGCAGGAGAAAGGAAAGCTTTCCCTTATAGCAGAAAGTCAACTAATGCATGTTGAAAGAATGATGCCATTTGCAAATCACCTCAGCCATAGTAATTGTTTCTAGCAAAACTCATCAGTAAATGCTAAGACTGGTGGGCTAAGCTTGAGAAGTAATGGCATATTTACATAATCAGTGTTTCTCTACACAAAATACTCATTAATTATGAAGGAAAAAATAGTAAGTTTACAATGGAGACACAGCATAGTTCAGGTATTACTTGGTCTTTCTTTAGCGGCTGCTGAGGTCAGGTTGAGAAAACCTGTTGGCCACATAGCAACAGGATGGGCAGAGGAGGCTGTCTGCCTCTACACTTCAGTATTTGTGTCCACCACCTGGGTCCCACTCTCTCATCCCTTTTTCACTGTGCCACTAATACCTGTGGTCCCTCATGCCTTCCCAAGCCTTGCATGTGCTGCCCCCTGTAGCCATTACCATTCTTTTCTGTTGAGAGCCTACAGCTGAAATTGATCACATGTAGGAGGGCAGGATGAGTCCTCAGTCAAGCTACCTCAGTCTTGAGAAAAACATCCTGCCTGGACATTGTGGGCTATTAGTCCCTAGGCAATCTTGTGTCTTGCAACTTTGTAAAGGTATAAATAAAGACCCTTACTATTCTTGGGGAGGGGGTGCTTTGCCTAACAGGCTTGGTCATCCACCAGATCTCAGCCATTATCTCGTTTTTATTTTCTCAATTCTCTCTCCATTTTCTCCTGGGGACTACCAAGAGACCAACAGATCCTTATACTTTTCTAGGCTAACTGTCTTCAAAACTCAGCTAAAGGGATAGCTGCCTGAAACCTTCTCTGGCACCCTGACCCCCAAGTTAGGTTCTTTATGCTCCCACACACCCAGTTCTTCCTTCTAGAGTAGAATGTATTGCATTGACATTATCTCCCACCAGGCTGTCCATTCCTGAAAGTACCCTACATGGCCAACATGGTTGCCAATACCCACATGTGGCCATGTAAGTTTAATTAAAAGTTTTAAAGTCAATCCCTTAGTTGCACTAGCCACACTGCAAGTGCTCAATAACCACATGTGACTATTAGTTACCATACCAGACAGCACAGGTATAGAACCTTTCTACCAGCACAGAAATACCATTGGACAGCATGGTCTAGAACAAAGATAACCCTAGGGTCTGTATCTTTTGTTATATGTTATCTCTCCCCATCTGCACAACCCAAAGATACTGGCAGTAGCACCTTTAATATGAGAACAGTCAGTGGGGCTCTTGTCTTCAGGTCCTCAGAGAAATGGGGAGATGAGATGAACTATCCTGTCACAATCTGAACAGGAGACTGCTGACAAGGAGAATGGAGGCAGGGGCGTGAAGTGCTGGGAATGCAATGAGGGTTAGGAGGAGGAAAAGTTAGCAAGAGCAGGAGGTAGCAGGAAGCAGTTCCAGAGGGGCCCAAAAGTTTGGTACACAGGTTGTGTCTACCAATAAATCAACTAGTACAAAGATTAATTAAGGCTTCATTCATTTGACCAATGAAATTTTAGTGACATCTCTGCTGTGTCAGGCACTGTGGTAAGCAATACTGTGGATGAATATGATACAGATCAGTATTACTTTAAAGCCACTGTGGCCTATCTACCCCACCAGGGGTCTCAGACTATGATCAAGGGCACATTTTATGAAGGATGAGCCTTTGAAATTCATCTTGCAAGAGTGGGAAAACTTCCATTAGAGATACTGAGGGGAGCACATCTGGCAGGGGAAACAGCTCAGGTAAAATACTGAGGTTGGAACATGTTTCAAGAACAGTGACCGGATGGCCCAACTGTGAGTGAGTAATGAGGGGCCTACCCAGACTGGTCAGGTCTCCTCACTGAGAACTACCATGCCCAAAACAGCAGCTTGTACCTGTTTCTGTAAGTAGCTGAGAACAGTTGACCACATGGCAGGTAGTAGGCATTTCATGAACATCTGGTAACAACTGTCTTGCAAGATTGTTATTCCTACTTTACAGGTGAAAAGCCAGGCTCTGAAGGGTTGGATGGCTTGCCAAAGGTAGCATGACCAAGCCACTGGGCCAGGATTTGAATGCTAAATACTGAGCTTTGGAAAGATGCAGCCAACCTCAAGTTCAAGGTGGGAGAAAGAGGAGAGAAACCAAAGGTATTCTGGGTTGTTTCATCAAGGAGAAAACCAAAAATTACTAATCTGACTTGATTTAGATCTCTGCATCTAAGCTATTCAAATTTTTAGGTCTGATCTGTGAGACGGCATCAAATGCTTAGATAACCGCAGCAGCTGCTTTTGTTAGTTACCATCCCTGGGATGTCTGGAAATGTGCATTTATGAAGAAGGAAACAAACAAATTGTTCCAATCTGCTAATTGTCCCATGCATACTATATTCCCTGTTAGAATTCATTTCAGATTCTATGAAAGCAGCAAAAATATTGACTAAATGCTGCTTCTGGGGGCCTTGCTGACTATAATCAAAAGCCAGTGCTCTGCTATCCTTTCTGTGGTAGACTGAGAGAGAGTCTAATCAGAAGTGCTGGTAACAGGCCCAATTCATGGGGAAGCAGCTTGGGACACTGAAAAGAAAAATCCCCTTGACATGCTATATGGCCTATCCTCTCCTCTCTAACTTAAAAGCTACCCAGCTATTTGTTATATTATGTGCTAAGAACATACACAGAGCTCTTACTATGTATCTAGCCCTATACTTTCCTGGACCAAGTAACTACCCCTACCAAGGACAGAAATGTAGCCAACAATTGTATAGGGGGCAAGAGACAGAGGCTTCAGCCAAATAGGCCAGCCACAGGAAGGTGAGAATAGAGGCCACAAGTGTGGAAATATACAACCTGTGAAAGGAATGCAAGGGAACTAACTTGATGAGCACCTACTCTATCCTGGTGCTTGACGTTCATTACCTCATATAATCATCACAACTCCCTGTGGCAATGGCTGACCATCTCAAGTTGTAAATTGAGGAAATTGACACTCAGGGTAAGTTCCCAAAGGTCACACGCTAGGAAGGGAGAACCCCAGTATGTGAAATGGCTCAACTACAAAGCCCAGTCTTACCATTCTTTCATACAGTGTCTGAAATGAGACAGGAAAACATTCCTCACTCCACCTCCCACTCAACCAAAGTATCTCACCCACCCAACTGCCTGAACTTCTACCATTAATGCATCACTTCCCCAGGGCTAAAGCCTCTCTCTCCGTGGGCTCCACAGTGGGGAAGGGGGGGCATAAGTAGGAGGCAGAGGCGGGAGGTGAGCACAAGGTCTTTTATGAGGCATCAAATATACATTCTTATATACAAGGAGGAAAAAAGACAATGCCTGAACCCCAGCTCCTCTCCACACAGCCCCTCCCACCACCACCCTCCCCAGCCCCCAAGCCCCAGGGTTCCTGGCCCTTTTTACAGCCAGGGTCTGTCTCTCTGTACTGCAGCCTGTAGTGGAGAGAGGAGAGGGAGGCAGAAGCTGAGGAAGGAGCTGGATGTGCAGGGCAAGAAGAGGAGCTGGGGCTTGTAAAAAATATATTTATAATAAATAAACAGGGCTGCAAAAGGGCTGGAGAGGCAGCAGAGATTTTGACAGACAGAAGGACTCGGGCATTCTGGCTCCCAGCCCCGGTTCTGATGGCTTCAATTGCTGCCTCAGAAAGGACATCTTGGGCTCAGGATGGCCCTCTGGGAGCCTCTCCCCAGGGCTGATGCTGGGTGCCCTGCCCCAGCGAGGTGTGTGGGCAATATCTGTAAAGTGCATTGTCTTCACTGGTAGGTGGAGAGGTGGAAGAAAATGGGGGGGCATGCAATATGGGTGAGGGAGGGCAGTGCCCTTCTCATCCCAGACCTGAGCCCCCCCAAGCCTGTCTTGACTGTGATCAGGATAAGAACATTGCAGGGCAAGGCAAGTTCCTGAAGCTGAAGAGGTCTGGGCCGGGGCCTACTGGAGAGAGGGCATAGACTGGCTCGAGAGAGGAAGCACTGCCCCATGGGGGGCCAGCACAAGCGGGGTTCCACCCACTAAGTGCATTTTCTGTGTCCTCTGGCAGGCAGAAAGACACATGGAGGTGTGTGGCCCGGCCCTGAGGTCAGAGAGAGGGCCAAGCCAGCTGAGGTTTGGCCAAAACTGTACAGAGCTCTCTCTTAGCCCACACAGCCAGAGGCGCTTTGGGGAAGCTTTCCCCCCTACAGCTCCAGATGCCTGCCCTTCTCCACCAGCCAGAGCTGCAAGGGACCTCACATTGGCCTGGAGGTCTGAGGCCCCTGAGCGAGACCTCCAGGGAAAAGGGAGGAAGGGAAAGGAAGACAGGAAAAAGAGGATGAGGATCTCTGAATGGCCCTCACCATTCTCCAGCACTGGAGTACCCTTAAGTCAAAGCTGCAAGTGGCAAGGGCCCTAGGATCTGGAAGGAAACCCCATGGCAAAATGCTGGGGTTGAAGGAGTTCGGAAGCAGGGAAGTGGAAAGGAGGACATTGCTATGTGTATATATATATGTTTTAAAAACTGGGGAACACGGGGGGGGGGGCAAGGTCCCTCTCCTGTAGATTCCCCAGACCTTCCTGTTCCCCAGCTGGCTTGCTTCCATTCATTAGACCACGGTGCTGATCCGGCTTGGCTTGGCCTTGGGGTTTGCACTGGGTGGGTTGGCTGTGCCAGAGGGCCCAGAGGCGTGCAGTGGGCCATGGGGGGAGGTGGGTGGCAGGGGTGAATGTGGGGTATGAGGTGAGGGTGGGGGTAGGGGTGGGTAGGAAGGGTGGGGTGGGATGGGTGAGTGCGGTGACAATGGTGACTGCGGGTGGTGGGGGTGGGAGTAGGAGCTCCCTGGTGGCCGGGACCCAGGGCCCCCTGCTGCGCCTGCTGCTGGCATCATCTGTGGGTGGTGACTGAAGATGAAGTGCTTGGGGCCCTGTTTGTGGGCAGGAGGGTGCTGAGGGGCAGGACTGTACAGGGGCAAGGGGGATGTGGGCTGGTGTAGGGGATGGCGGCCATGTGGACCAAACTGAGGATGTCCCCCAGCCCCCCGTCTGGGAGCCCTTCCAGGTCGGCCCAAGGTATAGTGCTGGGGCCCTGGGACCGGACCATGGGCATGGAAGTGACGATGTGGCCCCACAGGAGGGGCTGAGGCGGGTGGTGGTGGAATGGAGCCCAACTGGGGCAGGGGTGGGGGTTGCTGAGGTGGTGGGGGGAGAGGAGGTTGCTGGGGTGGGAGGTAGGGTGGTGGAGCTGGCCCTGGTCCTTGGCAGTACTGGGCATGCAGAGCCTGGAGCTTGGATTGCCCATCAGGCAGCACCCCCATGCCACCATGGCTGTGACCATGGTGGTGGTGGTGGTGGTGGTGGTGGGAGGAGGAAGCAGATGAAGAGGAGGCAGAGGCCTGGCCTGTTGGCGGTGGTGGCATCTGGAAGGGCCCTTTGCCCCGCTTGCTTCCAAATAGGGAGCCCAGGAAGGATGAGGAGTTGGAGACTGGCCTCTGGCTCTTGTACTCCTCTGGCGGCGGGGGTGGGGGTGGAGGTGGCATCCTCTGGTGAGGGCGTGGACTGCTAATAACAGACCCCTGGAAGGGGGGAGGGGGAAGTCAGGCCAGTCTAGATACCCTAGACCCCCAACCCTAAACTCCATCCCGGTCCCTGAGGGCTGGAGCTGGGGAGACAGGGACCCCCCCAAATGATAACGATGACCAAACAGCAGTCTTGTGCTTGTTCATGAAGCTCTGTTGTCACAGCTACTATCTCAGCTGATCCTCAGTGGGCAGAGGAAGAATTAGGACCCCTTCCTCAGGCCCATTAGCAGGCCAGGAAAATGTTAGGCCCAGCGAGGCAGAGCAACTTGCTCAGAGCCAAAGGACAAGACTTAGAGCCCAAGTCCAAGGGTGGTCCTACTTGGAGTTGGCCCTGGGGTTGAGAGGAGGCACGGGAAAGTGGAAGACAGACTGAGAGACAGGCAGAGTGAGGACAGACAGAGCTGAGGACAGATGGAAAGAGTGGTTGGCTGGGAGAGGCAGCCACACGATCCTAACAGGGAAGACAGGGAAGTAACAGGTCCCCTCCTCCTCTGGGGCTCCATGGCCAGGGCAGGGCTCATGCAGAGGACAAGTGGGGCAGGAGCTGGCACTTACTTCGATGGTGCTGTCCAGCGATCCCACGCTGTTACGCCGCCCCCGCTTCCCTGCACCCATAAGCAAGGAGCCCAGCGTCAGAGCAGCAAACCCCCTCCCCACCCTGCTGGGCTCCAGAGCTGGACACCAGGCTTGGGCCCCTCCCGGGGACAGACACCCCATTATCCCCATTATTCCCCCATTGAAGAGGGTGAGGTGGGGAGGAGGAGAGGTGGAAAAGGAGGAGAGAGGAGGGAAAGATGGAGAAGGAGGAGAGGCAATACAGGAAAGACAGAAGAGGGAAAAGAGGAGAGGTGGAGCAGTGAGCAAGGGACTGAGATTGTGGCCCCGCTTCACATTCCATGGCCCATACCCTGGGCCCTACCTGTTCTGACCTGGCTACCAGGTCCCCTGCAGCACAGTACCCGGGGCTCTCGGTGAAGGCAGGGTGCATGTGTGCAGCAGGTAAAGGGAAGGCTGGAAGCCAATAACAGGAGGCCAAGGAGACGCCCAGTCCCAGGTCTCCCCAGCCAGGGCAGGGGCCCAAAGGACTTACCTGCATCAGAGAGGTCTCGCAGGGAACTGCTGAGTGCACCCCGTTTGAGCCCATCGCCTGCCCCATAAGTGTCCTCCAGGCTACTGCGGGCCAGTGTCCCATTCACTGAGTCCTTTGCTCCTCCAGGTTGTGAGGTGTTAGGCCGCATCATACCCTTCTGCTTCTCCAGCTCCGCTGGGTGGCAGTGGGGGAGACAGAGAACAAGGGTCAGGAACAGGAGTGAGATTGAGCCCTCCACAGGCACTTTCATCTCCCTCCCAATGGCCCCTAGGTTTCCCATTTTGCCCCATGGATGGCCAGCATCCCTCAAATGCAGCTCTATCTTGGAAGCTCCCTTGGTGCCCAACCTTCATTTCGCACCACCTTCTCCTGCTACCGTTGCTTCCTCCCTCTCAACTTTCCAGCGCTTTTCCTTCCTTTCAGCTTTTTGTACTCCTCTCACCTTCCTCTGCCCTTTTCCAGTAAGGTTTTGCCAGACACCCCTGAGCTTCAATAAAGACCTTCATGGAAAGAGTCTCACAGTCAGGACAGGAAGGCCCATCTAGTCTACAGTGAAGGGCAATCTTTCCAGAATTTGCTGTTTTCAAGTACCTTGCTCTAGAGCAGAGGGACTCCCAGAAGGGCAGCCCAGAACGTTGACAAGAATCTAATCCTCTGTTGTGTCAGTCTATGTGCTAGTTACTATACATACTTGATTTTTCTCAGTCCATATTGTTAACATCATTCACATTGTTCAGAGGAAGAACCAGAGAACCTGAGACGTCACAGAGCTTTCCCAGCAGCATATAGCTAGAAATAGTGGGGCTGACATTTTAGAAGCACATTGGCTCAATTCCAGAGCTTGAGCTCCCCAGCCTTGTTTTATCTTCCTCTCTCTGTGGAGCTCATGGATCTTGTCTACTTGCTTGTCTAGTTGTCTAATTGTCTTGGTATGCTAAGTTCCTGCTCTGCATTTCCCCAGGGTCTCCAAGGATATGGTGAGCTGAAACTTCTGACCTTGCCTTATTGAGGATTGGAGTAGAGCCTGGGACTGTGAAGGCTCACCAAGAGCTGTCTACTGCCTATCTCTCTGTGTCTCTGTCTCTGTCTGTCTCCATCTCTGTCTGTCTCTGTCTCCTCACCTCTCCCCCTCCTTCTCCTTTCTTTTACTTAACTCATTTTTACTTAATTGTGATTGCTTTGCTTGGAGAACAGAACACTTAGAGGGCATCAGGAAGAATGATATATAATCACTACTGTGCACTATGTCAAATCAAAATGACTTGGTGTAGCCCTGGGGGCTGGGAGGATAGGTTGCTGGGACTCAACCAGGAACTCACATGGGGAGAGAAAGGTAGAAAACAGGGCAGAGAATGATATGTGTTGAACATCTGGGATGTCATAGAACACTTTGGCTACCTTGTTTCATCTCTAAACTCTCTGAAGGGCAATTCATGATTCCAGTTTAATGTAGGAAGATATTGGGGATTGGGCAACTCTACCCAGTTTATGCAGATAACAAGTAATATACCTTGGGTTCTTAACTACACTCCTACCTCTTATACCCCGATTCTTCTCCCTTCTGCCTTTTAATAGAAGGAAAAGTTGGCTCACAATTAGAGGCTGGGCATGGGGGCTATGTCATAGACTCTTAAGGCTTGGAATAATAATCTGAGATTGAGAGGTAACAAGTCTCTTGTATCTAGGCAGAGACTAAAGAGTTCCTGGAATGAGGATAGGAAGGTTGGATAAGCTACCCCTCAACCCTGAGATTCTCAAAAATCAGGATTCTGTGTGTCTGCAAGGCACTGTAGCAGGGATGGAAACAGGGCTGAGCTACTCACACTCCACACGGTACTTCTCCATCTCCTGCACCTCTGCGATGGACTCACGAAGGTCAGATGTGAAGCGCAGCCGGTCCTGAAGGCTGGGGGCATTGAAGATGATGAGGACTTTGCGCTCCCCGCCGGGAACTGCAGACAGCAACTTGATCCCAAACTGGTAATCTACGGGCAAAGCGAGGGGACAGGAGAGAATAATGAGTGCCTCTGCAGGATCAAAGCAAGGTTGGAAAATTGTTTTTTGGCTTTTTGTAGGCTTTTCTTCTTTTGTTTCTTGTGAGACAGGGTCTGGTTATGTTGCCTAGGCTGGTCATAAACTCCTGGGCTCAAGTGATCCTCCTGCCTCAGCCTTCGGAGTGCTGGGACTACTGCTGTGTGCCACCGGGCCCAGCTTGGAAATGTTTTCTCTAACATGCCTCTTCTCTGCTCAAGCATCTCCAGCAGCTCCCCATTGCCCCCAAACTTCTGGTAGTTGTGGTCCTTTACTTCTTCGTATTCTGGAGTAGGGGCTAGGGAGATAGCTTGGCGGTCTAAGTACCTGCCTGGCAAGTGCATGGACCTGGGTTAGATCCCCAGCACCACATGCCATGCTGACCCCAGGCACGCTGGGCCAGCCACCAAAACTGGGCATGGTAGTGCATGCCTGTAATCCTAGCGCTGGGGAGGCTGAGACAGGAGGATCACTATGAGTCCAAGCTGTGTAGCATGACCCTGTACTGAATAAATAAATATTTTTTTTTATATTCTGGGGTATAAAGACAAACTGAATGCTGCACTGTTTTCTGGAAATCATTTCCCCTGTGCCTCTACTCACAATGATTGTGCTCTTCCAGACGCCACTCAACCATGATCCTCCCAGTTCAGTCCTTCAAATCACCAACCCTTCAGCCCACCAGGTCACACACTGTGGTTCCCTGCTCACCAAGGGCCAGACCCAGGTCACACTACACCTTTTCCTGTTCTTCATCCCAGGACCAAGTAGGTATTTTGGAGCCCTTAGCCCAGTTGTAAAGGACTCAAAATCTGGAGGTTGGTATGGGTGAAGGATGCGCGTGGGGGCTACGGCCTGGACTCCTGAAATGCTGGGTCTAAAAAGGGACTCACAGGAATTCTGGAAGAGCTGCATGTGCATTTCCACCAGGGGGAAGGACTGACGGAAGCTGTACGTCACCAAGATCTTCTTCTTCTGGAAAATTTTGGTGACCTTTGGTAGGGGTGGGAAAAAGACAAGAGGCAGGGTTTGGGGTGGGGAATTTCCATGTGGTACCTATTTCTGATAACCATTATACCCTCCCACCCCTACTAACAGACATATGCACACAAACACACGTTCCCACAAGGAGAGAACTGAAACTTGAGGAACAGAAAGGAACATATGGGAAAAAGTGCAAGTTCCCAATGTTATGGTGATACACAACAGGCATTAGCAATTTTTACAGGAACTGAAGGCTGCTCCCTCCGGGAAGCCATTCGAACAGCTCACGCATAGGTTTTCGTTTTGCTTTGCCTTGTTGTGGTACTGGGGATTGATCTCAGAGTCTTTGACCTAAGATACACACCCTTTTCCCTGTTTTGAGAAAAGGTCTTGCTAAATTGTCAACGCTGGCCTCATACTTTCAATCCTCCTGCTTCAGTTTGCAGAGTAGCTGGGATTACAAGTGTGCACCACCACACCTGGCTCACACAGTGTTTTCCTTTTATTTTTTTCTGAGCTGCCACAGTGCTGGGTCAGGACCTTAGCCATGTCAGGCTTTAATGGTAGTCCTCTAGTGAGTGATCGCCCCCTGTTCACCTGGAGGGCAGGTGTCTGATTTTCAAGTTCTCTTGCTCACCAGCCTCCACCCTCCAGAGCCAGCACATGATAGGAATTTCTGCCCTGCCTATAAGAAGGGTTAACACGTCTTTTTCTTAAAACCTAGGATCTTTAGTGAGTGTTTGGGCACTTTGGACTTTCTACTAACATAGATTCAGATAGTCTGCAAGTGGTTTTTTAAAAATCCTGTTATGCTGAAGGTGTAATCAAGGGCCTTACGCACATCAGGCAAATATTCTACCACTGAGCTATACTTTCATCACCTGCAAGTGTGTCTTAAAGTAACTGTTTTGCTTAAGGTAGTGGCACACACCTGTAATCTCAGCCAGTCAGACTAAGGAAGATTGCAAGTTGCAAGTGTGAGGCCAGCCTGGGCAATTTAGTGAGACTGTGTCTCAAAATAAAATCTTAAAGAGGATTGGGGTTGTAGCTCAGTGGTAGAGTGTTTAGTTAGCACGTGTGAGGTCTTGGGTTCAATTCCCATTCTCTCTCTCTCTCTCTCTCTCTCTCTCTCTCTCTCTCTCTCTCTCTCCCTCTGCCTCTGCCTCTGCCTCTGCCTCTGCCTCTGCCTCTCTCTCGCTCAGCAACTGTTTTGCTTTAAGCATGGTTAT